TATATTTGAAGGATCCTATTTCATTAAAATGTAAATTCAAACACTATGAATGCAGATACTTTTTTCCCCCTAACATGAGATAGCATAATCAAGCCATTGTGTGTTTTCTACTTCAAACAGAAAAATCCTTGAAGCCCTTTGCATGTAAATACAGTTGTACTTGGAGCATTCTACTGAGAAACTTACTTTTAATTAAAAATTATCTTACTGTTTACAGTGATAGTAAAATAAAAAATAGTAAATATGTTGTTTTACTGTTAAACTACATATCTGCTAAAGCAATGTTGCACAAGGTTCAAATTTAATATACAGTCACCTTTTTTTATGGAGTTACACAAACTGCTGAGTCAGATTCTGTCTATGATGATTAGATTATTTCATGCTTGTGTTTTACTTGTCCATATATTAATAAAGTCTGAAAGGTACACTTGTGGTTATTTCCCTTTCAAAACCAGATGACAGGAGCAGAATATCTCAACTTTCAAAGCAGGGCTTCTATAGTTTCTAGTAACTAACTGCATTTTGTTATAAATAGAAATGTTTGTCTTCTATGCTTTTTCATATTAACATATTTTTGCAGTCTGCATTTATAGAAGTGCCACTATTTTATTTTTTTTAAGTGCCTAAATTATCTTCATTTTAGTATGTTCCCCCCCCCTTCAATCACCACCTTTTCCTTTGAATTAAGTAATTTAATGTGGGTTAGGGGAAGCATGCTTCATGTTCTAATTACTGCAGATATCATGCTGCTCCTGTGGTATCTGCTTTCTCTGTAAGATGTTATACTTAGTATGAGCTTTTATTGTAATAGGTGCTTGAATATTTTAACTTGATGTGCATTATGGCTTTTGCAGACAGCTCCAACCTACTTGTCTGTGTTCCTTAGTTCTTAAAAGTACCAATGCAGTATTTTTAAAATACTAATGTGTATTAAGCATTACAAAAAATTAAATCAGAGATGAACTGCAGGAATCTTTAATATGCTGGTCCCTTAATTAATCTGCTAGAGAGGGTGTTGGCACTTTTACTCTGTTGAATAATTTCCAGAACTGAAACAGGCCTTTTGTTTCTGTTTTTCTGAAAAATATCTTAGCTTGGCAAGAACAATGAGGGACTGCAGTAGCTGGCTCCCTTCTGATTGGGGAGCATCACTGCAGTCAGTGGAATTTCTGTAGCTTTTTATATACTTGATATGTCTTATGTAGCTTTGACTCCTTTCTTGTGTTGTTCTATGCAAATTCCTGTTATTTTTACAGTGTTCAAAGAAGAAAAAACAGTTCTGTAAGGTTTTTAAAGTAGATTTCTCAAACTTTATGTAATCAGCAGCTTGCTTCTTGGTACTTTTTCTTGGTACTTTATCATGATTGATGTAACTTGTTTATTGGGGCTTCAATCAAACTACTGGTAGATCTAGTCTTTGTTTTTGAGTAAGCTAGGAATACTTATTTAGAACATTCATGCAAATATATAATTTGGTTTTAATTTGTAGTTGGAATTAGGCATAAAAATAATTCTTAATGTCCAACAAAATACACTGCTGTTCTGTGAGTTCTGTATACATATGTGGGTAGGTGGATGCATCAATTTAACTCTTTATTTACCATTAGTTTGAACTGACTGAAGAAGTTATATGCAACCATAGTACTAAAGTGCTGTGCTACATCTGAACATTCCTACAACCCTTAAAAATGATTTTGTGTGGTTTTGAGCCACTTATGTGGGTTTACTCTGTGCCATATGGTAACTCTAAAAATTGTTTTTTCTAGCAACAGTCTTTACAACTGACTTTTCTTTTGGACAATCTAATTGACACAGATACTCTAATTCATTTATCTATAGTTGCATAGAGAAAACCTGTAAATGGAAAAAAACAAAGTATGTTGCAAAACCCTGGATGTATTTATGTTACAGGTTCATTAAAACATTTTATTAGTGATTGTTAAATATATGTAGCATTTTTGAGGCAGTGCTCCCATGGAGAGTTTTGCTGCTTGCTATTTTTGTATGTCAGCAAAAATGATTAAGTGTTAAATTGATACATACTGACATACATGAATTACTATTTCAGTAAAAGATTTGGGAATGCTTTTTAAAAGGTGTCACTATTTAAGGCATGAGAATCTGTCATAGGTTTAATCACAGATGTTCTTTTCCCTCATGCTTCAGAGGAGGACTCAGAATGCTGCTGCTTCTCTGCAGAGCTTTTAGTGAAAAAGGACGTATTGGCAAGATAATCTAAAGCCAAATGCTGTGAAAGTTGATGCTGATTTGAAACAAAAGAAGTCTTGCTTCTGGCTTAAGCCCCCCAAAAATCAGCAGTTAGAAACTGAAGGTTTTCATACCTGATGGCTGAAGGTAATATATATCTCTAGAACTAGTGATAAAGAAGGGGGAGAAATTCCATTTTTAATTTGTTGTGAGGTACTACGAAGAGATAACAGAAACTTTTTCTTCAGAAAAGATGTCACTGAGGTGTTCATATTTCAAAACATGAAACCAAGGAAGTTAATTTTTCAGTCTTGGAGACAAAATACGTATTTTCACTGTTAAACTGCTGTCCATATCAGCAGTGTTTGCTTTTTCATTTAGTAAGGCATCTTGTCTAGCCATATGAAGCAAGTGGGACACCAAGTCAAAAGACATGTAGTTGTTTTTTTTTTTATTTCTGAATTGGAAACCTGAGAGAAGGAATGTTCTTAGCCTAGTAAAACCAAGAAGATACCATTTTTTCTCTCAACAGAATGAAAATTTATAAATTAATTGTTAAATACTTGAACAAAAGCAGTACAAAGGAATTAAAGGTTGACTGTGGTGATACTTGTTATTATCAATAGTTTAATGGTTAGAAACCTGGGAAAATGCAAATTTACTTATTTGAAAGTTTATTGAAAGTTTATTTGAAACATGCAGTCCTGTCAGACTAGTTTAGCCCAAATTCACAACTTGTGTTTGTGTTGCTGAAGGTACCATTCTAGCAAAGATAAATTGATCTAGGAATAAAGAAGGGAAGGGAGGGAAAGGTGGTTGTTGTAGTTTGGTGGGACTGCTGCAGGAGAAGGTCTTTTGGGAAGAAAATAGTTGTTTCACTTGAAGAGTGATGGAGGCAGTCTGAAACAGCATCATCCACAGCTGCTTTGTGTTTCATGAGCAGGTTAAAGGCTTTTGTGGTGAGCAGAGGCTAGAGAGAGCATTGAGATGTGGTGTCTTGATTCCCATAGAGTGGTCCCCACTTGGCTCTATCAGCTGTCTGTGTGCTCGGAAACAGACAGAAGCTTGGTTGTAAAATATGTGGTCTGTTTGGTAAGTGTATTACATTAAAGCTTTGTTTGGCTTCAGAATTGGCCTACCAGTATGACCAGTACAATGTTTTTAGACTTAATACATTGAATTTCTAAAGCTCTAATGTCTGTACAAAGGTGTGAAAACAGAGCTATTTTGCAATGCTGTTTCACTCTAAAATGGAGCTGCTAATAGACAACTAAAAACATAAAGCTTTTTAGCTGCAGAATGCTGTGCTGGCATGCTGAAGCACAGCAGTGTGTGTAATTGGAAGGATGTGAAAACACTAGCAAACTTTCAACTTTTCTGTAATTTCCTGAAGAGGTTAGTTGTGTTAAAAATCTGTGAATCATATGGAATGGCAGAGGCATCCTTTGGTTAAACATTTACTGGGAAGTGTTTGGAGTAAATATATGTAATGCTTGTAATATATTTACATTATTGAAACCTTATTTTGAAGACCAAAAAATTTTCATATTTGTCAAGCAAAACGTAGCTTCTGTGTCATTTGGGAAGATGATCTATTATCTAGTCAGGGCATACTGAGTATGTATTTTAAGTTATATGTCAGCCTTTTTGTCTTCCAAAAATGTGGTCATGAAAGCTGTTCTATGGAGAGGAAACTGCATCACAAAAATAAGCAGAAAATTATAATCAAACCTGTCATCTTAAGCACATGTACAAAACACTTCTTCAGATATGCTGAGCACCTTCCCTGCCTTCACTTTAATTTGTGCAGAGTTCATTATCCATCAGTTGTCATGTTTTAGTATGCTAAGCAGAAAGGCAGTAGAATCTTCCACTTTCTCTTTTTTCTGCTGCATCCATTTCATATATTGCATCGAAGTTACTTGCCTGATGTACCAATTGTGTTGGTTTTTTTCAAGATTTTTATTAGGTGTTACCTTTCCTTTACTATTGTTAGCTTATGTGGGTAAGCAGACCTTTTTTCTGCTTGAAGCTAACTGCTGTTTGTTGATACTATTTTATATTTAATCTGTAGTCCTTTTTGTTGCTGAATAAATTGTTTTTGTCTAATACATAGAGTCTTTCAGGGATATCTGATTGTAAAACAGGGTATTGTGACAGATCTGAAGCCCTTTGTAGCTGCATATCAGTCCTCAGCAGATTATTATATGTTTTTTTTGAAAGCTGGGTGATAGCAAAGATAAAGGCAGTGCCACTTTATTCAATTATAGTCTTTAATATGAATATCTGTACTATGTGTGATTTCTGATACCTAAGATCAGAGCATACTTAAGGCTGGGTATCCTTTCAAGTATTAGTCGAGGAAGACTTTTCTTCCCAGCAGGAGTGAGAACTATAACCAGTTGAGGCAATCAGTAAGACCATAAGATTATTTTGAAAATTGCAATAATTCAGTATTTTCCACTTGAAGTGGTCTCTTATTTCAGAATGTCATTAAGTATTTGTTTATATGGTAAAGCAATCGTCTGTTTCTATTGTGTGATCGTCATTGATTCTTTTGTAATTTTCAGATTTATTTTAAACTTCATTCTCAAAAATACAAAGTCAAATCATTTCATACTTTTCACTTGAATTTATATTTAACTTCACAACACAGGCTTGACTTTTGAAGGTCAAAGTGCATAAGGATGGGTGCACAGTTGTATATTTATATATACTGTAACCAGTTTCTTAAAAGGCATTGGGGAGTCCTATTTCCTTCAATAACACTTCAGCTTTTTTAAATCAAGGTAAATAGTTCTCTGTTTAAAAATGCTATTTATCAGTCAGCTGCTTTCTTTTCGCATTCCATCCTCAGCGAAAGGAACATGATACAGGCTGTACATCTCTAAATGCATTTTACACAGGCCTGTTATTTTTGTGAGGAAACCAAATCAGATTATGTCTAAAAAGCCAAATTTTTAGTTTGTAGACTGAACTTGGAACAGTTGACAGATCTGTTTTGAAGAATTGATGCTTTTTGTAGTTTTCTTCTGATATTTATTGATGTTGCAAACAGCCAGGATCTTTCTGTGGTATTTGTAGTTGGCTTTTTTCTTGTATTTTCCATGGTTTTCATGCTGGCTTTGGCAAATGCATCTTGATTTTTGGAATATGAGTTTATATGTCGCCTGTTTTAGGGGGTTTTGAGGTGAATCTAAACTGCCATAGTTAACAAGTTCTCCTTATTCTGCATCTGTTTGTTGTTTTTTTTCTTACCCGAGTATGAAGAGGTTAAGAAGTTTACCAGTAGCAGCTGTTGGTATTTCAAAATACTTTAAATTTCATTTATCATACATAATATTGATGAGTATGTTTTTTTTTTCAGTACAAGTAAATATTTATGTTCTGTCCTTGAGAAATCAAATCTTCCATCTCAAAATTTTTCCTACTCTATGACATTAAAACTTTAAACTTTTTTGGTTACAGTTTTGAGGATATTCTGTGCCTTGCTGATTCTTCATCTTTGTCAGATATCACCCTTGATGGCAATCCAATAGCTCAGGAGACATGGTACAAACACACTGTTCTCCATCATATGATGCAGCTCCGACAGCTAGATATGAAGAGAATCACAGTAAGAAATGCCTGTTTTAATCAAATTTACTAGATCCTTAACTTCAGAAGTAAAATGTAGGGTTTTCTATGCATATGTGTATATTGAAAATACCATCATTTTTCCTTGAGTTAGTGTGGAATCAAGTGGTGCATACACAGTACAATATTTAAAATGTTAACCTTTTTCCATTTGTTTAGGATTATGTAAGGGTGTGCTTTTGTGCTTCATTTTAACATGTTTATTTTAAAATGCTTAAACTCATCATTAGTAAATACTGTGTGATCAATTACCTTGTGACATGAGAATATCTGCAAAGCTTTTGGTTAGAACTTTCTCAACACAATCTTTACTGGCTTGCTGTGTAGGTGAAAAGGGACAGCGTATTTCTTCCAAAGGAGTAGCTGTTCACCCTAAGCTGGAGTTGTTGGTATTGTCTTTCATTTAAAAACCTTGGTTTCTTTAGTCTGCCTACCTAAGGAAGCCTGATGTGTCTCTGTCTGTATTTCTCCCTTCCTTACCTAACCTACTGTCCCCATGCATTTGTTTCTGCTACTCAAGTTCAAGTAACCTTGATAAAGAAGAGAGGACTTGCTGACAACTAAGGCTCCTACAGACTCCTGAACATTTACTGTAAGGTAGAGGATGAAGGGCAATCACTGAGGGCCTTACCATTAAGTCAGCTATTTTAATATTGGAATAGCCATGCTTCTACTCAGAAGTGATGTGTAAGCATGACCTTGTTCCAAGAAAAATCTATCCAACAGTAAAATAATACATATAATATGCTCTGCAAGCAGCAGTGTTGTAGTGTTATCTTTTTTGATCATGTGCTAATACATATACCTTATTTAATTGCTCATTTGCTCTGTACAACAGCTTATTATAAATTGTACCAACTGCTTTACCATCTATCTAGTTGTCCTGTAGCCAATCCATGCTGAGTACAAAACAGAGCCAGTTAGAATCTGAAATATAACACGTTTGTATAAAACATTATATTTAAAAAGTGCTTTGGGAAATGAGTTTTACCCCCAGCACCAAAAGTACTAAATAGATGTTTGGTCGTAGGTATTCTATGGGTTTGATTTTATTTTTTTTTTCTTTTTTGAATTTATACTGACTTATTTGAATTGAATACTTGCTAATTGCTTTGCTTTTAAAGATCGTTTTCGTAGTATTATTTGAGAAACTTGAGTTACATAAAGAAAATGTCTCCCTCACAGCTTCTTAAGAGGAGATGCATCCTGGTAGAACTCTTAGTCCTATGAGATTTGTCTGGGGGAAAAAAAACTACTAGAAATGGATAGCCATGGGAAGAAGTTAATCTGGGTTCACACCTTGTTAAACATCACAGAATCAACCATAAGACAAAAAAATCCATAGAAAATTAGGCTTCACCAGTTGTGCTTCTCATAAATCTACTTGTAACAACAATGTGAGTTGTGTTCCTTTTATTTGCCTTCTGGTTTTTGAGGCTTGAGAAAGTTTTTAACATTTTCTCTTTGTAGAGGTTGCTTTATGTTTTTCTAATAAAAACTGTTACCCAGATAATTGTATGACTTAAGAAACTTAGATCTTAAGAAAAATAAGAAACATTGTGAGATTCATTATAAAATTAGAGAGTTGGCAATGCCATATCCAGCTCTTCTGCCTAGTAATGCAACATACTGTTGCTGTCAGCTGTAAGGGTGAATGTAACTTGTTGAGGGAATGGAAGTACAGTATTGTGTATGTGCTTTTTCTCTATTAGTGTACCTAAACAATTACATCTATAGGATCTTTTCTTCATTAGTCTGAAGAGTCCAGACAATTTGAACTTACACATTGCTTTATCTTGTAAAGAACTGATAGTTGGACCTGGATGTTGGTTCTTTCTAACTAGGAATTCTTCACTAACCTGTTCAGAAACTCTTCTGCTTTAGGACTGAGTTTTACACAATTATTACTTCTGCGTTTAACTTTTTTTTTTTTACTAGCTGGCTTCACTGTGACAAGAAAATTATTTCAAGACAGAGTAAAATCTGAGGGATATTTTCTGAAGTTTCTAAGAGACTTTTTCATATTTATTTTCCAGAAGACAAATGCTCCTTGGTACCAGGCCTTTTCTATAGGATTTTCTGGAGAAAGGGAACATTAGAGCAAAAGTCTTGGTGGTACCTGCCTCTGCCATATGGGACTATTCAGAAGCTGCCATGAAAATCAAATACTCTGCACTTGGAATAAAACTTTTGCTTTGTAGTTCTGATATCTTTTTAAGTTGGGGTAGACTTACCTTTTTTTAAAGGGATTGCATCACATTATGACAGCTTTTAAACCCCACCCCTTGAAGAAGCTGATGTTTTCTTAGGCCATCTCACTCCTAAGCCATTTTTTAATATAAGATTTAAGCTCTTAAACTATTGAGGCATGGACTCATGGTGCTGAAATCAGTGGAGGCTGGTCACCTGTTACAAGTTTTACTGTAGGACTGTAAACACTCACTGTCTACACGAAGAGATAAATTATTTTGTATCTAAAACAACTCAGTGGAAACCTTTTATATTCTCAAACTTTGGATCAATCTAGAGGCTTAAAGAGTTGGGAGGAGGCTGAGTGACAGTGGCTAGACAGATTATTGTGTGTCACCAATATTAACCTTCAGTAACTGTAACAGTGACACCTTTAGTCTGCCTTAATTGGGAGGTCATGTGCCTTGATTTATGGCTCAAAGAAATAGGCTAATGTGAAGTGTGTTACACTCAGATCAGGCTCAGGTTGCATCTGTAGTAATTTGCATTGTTTGGTTCACAGACTGTAATGCTTTTTTTTTTTTCTGGGAACTGAAGCTTTTTTAATACCTTTTGTAGTTTGAACTTTTGAAAAAGTGGACCTTTTCAGACATGTTTACAGTTTAGTTGTGACTTACCTTTTTTCTTCAGTCTTCCGTAACAGCAAGCAGATGCTGTCTGCAGATGCAATTGAATATTAAAATATGAATGAAATGTGTACAAATTCCTTGCTAAGAAATTATTATATTTATTAGGAATAAACTTTCTCAGAATATTTGCTAAGTGTATATATTCTATATGTGCATGTAGGTATAATGGGTGTGTACATATATTTTTAATGTGCTGTCGTTCCCAAATTGAAGGACAAGCTGCGGCTTTTTAACAGTAAAGCTTTGCTGCTTTTCATTGAGGTTTTATAGGTTTTTGGATGCTTAAAGTAAGAGAGCTGTATTTGGTTTTGATTGTTTGCTATTTGTACTGCTGTATCCAGAATAGAATTAACTTTTGATTCTATCACCACTGTGGTATGTTCTAGTGATTTTAGGGAAGAATCTCTTATTTCTTTTTTCTTTCCCTTGAAAATAAGGTACTTTAAGAACTGATAGAGACATTCTTGTGGGCTGTAACCCTCTCTCTTAAATCAGGTCTTGTGAAAATATACAAAATACTAAAAGTAAAAAAAAAAAAAGATAAAGCTTATTGTCAAGTATCACTCAAGGAACGGTTTGTCAAAAGTTTGGTACTTGTTTTCCTTGGCTTTATTTCCACTAGAGTCCATCCCTACATTCTTAATTCATTCTTGTGTAAAATCAGCCTTTGTAGTATTAATAAGAAAAAGTAGTCTGCCTTCTGCAGGTATAAGTAAGCTGGATTTTGTGTGGTTTGTCTCCTGCATTGAGTCTCTTTATGCTTTGAAAGTCAAAACGTGTATTCCAGGCCATTCTTCATATCCTTTTTTGGTTTTTTTCATTACCCAAATTAGTTGATACCAAGTATACTATAGTTGTTTCTAAGCTATAGTAAAATTATTTGAGTATTTTTAAGGTAGGTATACTATGAAAATTAAATAGTGCATTTTTTGTGTGCTATCTTAGCCATTTTTTCCTCTTTTGGGTTAAATAGTATAATCTGTTGAAAAATAACTTGTTTGAATGATAGCAAAGAGGCAATGAGGAAGAATACATGCCTTTCACTGCAGTCTCTTTAGGATCCTTTTCAGGCCTGGCTGACTGTTACTCATTTGAAAGACTGATGATATAATGACAGGTTTGGCCAAAGTCTGTGGCTCGTGATGCTCGTGTAGCAGCAGGGGGAGCGCTCAGCATGCCAAAGGCACACACCCTTGGGGACGGCTCTTGTGAAGGTGGTAATAGCTTTAATGAGCCTTAGTCGCCTTGTGTGCTGCTGTTGCTTCGCACTCAGAGTAGAAACCTGCAGCCTCAACACCTCATTGCAGAAAGTGCTGCTTCTTCAGAAAGTATATTCCTCTCCCTTTTAGCTTTTAGGGTTTTTTTGGTGAAGATTGCTTCTTAGCCACTTAGTACGTTTTTAGATGGGAAGTGGAGAGCTAAGAAACTGAGGAAATTTCAATATCCGAGAGGAGATCCAGGTCCTTCTGTTATGATCTGACACTCTGACCTTTTGGAAAAACATCTCCTCTTGTTCCACCAAGTGTTGGTTTAAAGACCAACAAAGTAGGTTCTGGACAATAGCAGTTGATTGAGGGAGAACAAAGAAAACAGAGGTAGAATTTCAAAAGAGCGGGAGCTGAAAGAGGAGGAGTGATAGTAAAAGTGAACTGTGACAAGGTTATTAAGGGCTTTGTTTTATAACAGTGTTCAAGGGAAGTTACTACATACAGTTGGGTTAGGGGCACTCTTGTCAAAGCCTCATGTCTTAATCTGCATGAAGGTATTCCTTTTATTTATTATATGCATGTTAGGTTAAAGTCTTAGAGAAACAATTTGGAAGTCTGTTGTGTAATGCCCCTTCAGATTGATGTAAAAATCTATTATAGGTCAAGGGGCTTCAGGTGGGCTTTACACAGATACAGGTATGTTTGCCATGTGAACCTAACTTCTCATGCTTTGGAAATGAGTTTCTTAAAAATGTAATAGCAATGCTAAGTGTGACGTTCCTGTTTTATCTTCCAGTCAACATTCACCCATGGGCTTAGGGATTTACAGTGCTCTCAAGATAGCATGTTTTATTTATACAGAAATTTTGATGTATGTGTCTTCAATGTCTATGATGTTTTCTGTTCATTTTTGTTTGTTCATTTTCTTAGTGCATAACTTTCTGGAAAGTGAAAGTGAAATGGTTAGGACAGGAGCTTTTTATTTTGAAGGAAATCATAACACTTTCTGTATATTCTGGGAAGATGCTTTAATAGAAATGCCCAAATGACATGTGAAGTAAATCAAAATAAGTTAAAGTATGCTTCCAAAATATTTGTGTTGGAAGAACTCTATGCTTTTCACTTCATACTGAATGTTTCTTTTGTTTCTTGGAAAATATATGTTCTAAAAATACTGTGCTGTGAGAATGTTTAGACTTCTGTAAACAGGGAGCATTCAACCTAACATGGGTCTGCTGCAGTATTAATTGCTGTACTAGGAAAATTGATTCCTAAATAACGAAAGCAATCTAAGTGAAGATGCTCAATTACTTTATTTTGGAAGTTTCTTGAATAGGTGATAATATTGGTGAAAAAATGATGTGCTACAGTTGATTTGGAAAATACTCTTAAGTTCTGTTGCTAATTGAGGAAAGTAAGCCCCTGGAAAGAGTTTATAGTGATAAAATTCATTATTATTCATTATTATTTGAGCATAAATAGAATTAGCTCATTTACTCTCTTTTTTTTGCAAGGAAATCTTCCTGATTGCAAAAACTACTGCAAAGATAGAATGCACCGTTGTATTTTAAAATGGTTTTTTTTACTGTCATGCTCACCATATGCCTGATGCTTTTTCAAAGACCTTCACAAATACTGGTTTTAAATAGCTTCATCTTCAGTATTTCCATCTGAGTAGATGCGTATCTTCTGTATTTATTTATAATGAACAGTATTGCTTTAAATAATGTTTAGAAGCATTAAAATGTTAAAAATCCCACAATTGTATAAAAACTTAAACTTGCTTTTCAAATACTAACACAAAAATCTATTAACTTATCAGTAATACTTTTCAGAACCTGATTAGTTTCTCCTGTTATGAGGTGCTTTTTCCTTTTTTCCATCCAGGAAGAAGAAAGACGTATGGCATCTGTTGCAGCAAAGAAAGAGGAAGAAAGGAAGCGTGAAAGCCATAAACAGGCCCTGCTTAAGGTATTTTCTATGGCTGTTCTAAGCCTACTGCATACCAGTTTTCAGCAATATTCTATATCCTAATAGTTTTTGCTGTAGTTATTACCTATCCCAATACAGCTCAATCTCTGTAAACTTTTTTTACAGCCTAAGCAGTGCACTCCTCAGCTGAAACTCTCCACAGTCTACTATGCAAGTTATACGTTAGCAAAAACCCCCAGTTCAAATGCATGACTGTGACACATGTAAAAGGAAGGCAAGCTTCATTTTCAGAAATCCAGAGATAAAACTAAAACCAGAGTAAAGTGATTTCAAATTCCTTGAACTTGGTCTCCCCCGTTTCAGGTGAGTGCTCCAGCTGCTGCCATGCAGGGCATTTGGAAGTAGCTTTTTCTTGGTTCTTTCCTGTTGCAGTTCTTCCTTTTTGTAGCAAAAGCTAAGTAGCCATCAGAGCAGCAGCCAGCCTGCAGCTGTCTTCTTTTTCAGAAGAATGCTTATGTATCAGACCACCTGGCCTAGTTAATGCTTATATACATGAGATGGAATAGCTCTAACAGGGGAGACTGAGATGCACTCCAGAATGCTCTTGTGGGGCTGGTGACTAAATGTCCTGTGTTGCTAATAGGAGACCAAAGTTCAAGGATCTAAAAGTATCTGCATTCCATTTGTTGCATGAGTATTGCCATTTGTCTCCAAAACAAGACCTTTTCCTTTGGAGAAAAAAAGAAATGCCTAAAACTCCTTGTCATCCAGTAATGGCTATACAAAAAGCTTTTTCAATTTAGTAGAGAAACAAACAAAAAAATGTTCAGGTATCCATATTGTTAAGTTGCCTAGGTAAAAATTGTATTTCATTAAGGGGATTTAACTGCAAGTGGTTGCAGGAGGCTGTAAGAAGTGTGGCAAATGTATGTAACTGAAAACAAGACACAAACCAAATATTGACAGTATATTAAAAGATGTTTTAAGTACATTTAAAAAATCCCAAGAATCTAAATATATGAATGGGGGAAAAAATTATTTCCAGGTCTGGTGCCTAAGTGTATTTTGACTTAGGTATGTTTGTATAATGTGTATTTTGATTTTTTGTTTAAAACAAAAGGCCTAATATAACAAAAGATACTCTTTTTTTTTTTTTTTTTTTTTTAAGCAGTGTTGTGGGCGTTTTTGTGTGTGGATTGTTTGGGGCTTTTTTTTCCTTTAAGATAGCGATGTATTTAAAATCTCTTTAGAGTTTTGGTGCCAGTTCTTAGTAACATATAGAAATGGGAAACTAGTAAATAATATTAACACATAGTTATGTTTTATGCTGTTGAAAAGCTAACTGTCTCTGGACTGGAAAAGAAGTAGGTGTTTATTAAAAGTGTTTATTTGTAGTTCATGCTTTTAACCATTGATGTAACATTTCCCTGTAGCAGAGGATTTGTTTGTCTTGATGGCTTAGGTTTCTGTGTGCATTTTGGTAGTGGAAACCTGCCTTAGAAGAAAAAAAAAAAAAAGTGTAATGTCATTGTTATTCAGACTTCAACATTAAATTGTAGGTTTTATAATCTAATTGAGGTTTCTTTCATATCTTCAAATAATTAAGTGGCATAAGAGCTAAATGCCAATGTCTTTGGCATGATTATTTTTTTCTTTCCTTTGTAAATATGTTATTGTTGTGATTCTGATTTCTTTTTCTGCTCATCACACATTTTAGTTTAAAGGAAGAAATCTAATAATAAAATGTACAGTGAAAGAAGTTGTAAACTATAGTATTTTCTTCACAAACAAAACTGAGGGAAGTAATTAGTGAATCATTCTGCAGTTTTATTGTCACTTTTGTCGAAACTTCCTTTAACTATATGCAGTATACATGAAATTACAAACATTCAGTAGCAAACAGTTGCTGTTTTCTTGTATTGACTGCATCAAGCAAGTTAATTCCAGCAATGTAATCTTTTCTTTTTCCCTTGCTGATACTTGTCTACCTTAAGAGCAGAGTCACTTCATCTGTCTTTTTCCAGACTATTTTTTTATTGCTTAAAACCCACTCCTCTGGGAAAGTTCAAGATGTACTTTAAAACGTACAGAGAACATAATTACTTTCCAGCAGAGGCTGAACTTAATGTTTACTGGAACAAGAAATAGATACTGCTAGCAGAATCTTCACTTTCCTAAAATTTGCTTATTGTAAAATGAAGGGGCTGTAATAAAACTTTGTGGTTTGTCTTGAGTTTTCTTCCCAGCCATCGCCTCTCTTAAAACAGAAATGTAAATGTTCAATTTGAAAACAAATAAAGCCTTTCTGACCTTCAGGATTTTTGGTACAGCCTTCTAAATCCTAATCAATATTGTGTTGTTTTCTTGTATCTTAATCAGCCTGAACAAAACAGAGATGGGAACAATATAATTGTTTAAAATTGCAATATTAAACTGGCTTTTAAAGCTGGTGAGAAACCGATAAAGGTGGTTAGCTTAGACTCAAAGGAGATTTTTTAACAGGGATTTACCTTGTCCTTTGAGACCAAATTTGAGATGATTGCAACTTGAAGCTAAAAAGTACTTGATGTTTAAATCAAACATTTCATACCATTGAAGTAGAATATTAATTAGTACAACTGAAGAGTATGCAACTTTTATCCTGCCCCTGTGTTTATGGGTAAAATTAATGACAAATGCACAAGGCTGCCTGTGAACTGTTGTTTATACTATACAAGGCAAATTCAGGTTTGCACTTTTCCCTCCTCCATTTGAAGTATGAGACAAATTAAAGCATTCTTACAACGTCACAGTTTTTAAATACTTCCTAAGAGTGGGAAGCTTTAAATTAAGGTTGTTACTTTATATGGGCTTGAATGCTACATTTCTATAGCAGTATCAATTTAGAGTATGATGTTATAAACCAATAAATTGTTGACTCTTTTTTCCATGTTTTCTGGGTGTTAATTGATTTTTATATGAAGCTGTTCTATAATATTTATCTCTCAGAAATTCTAAGCCACTGCTTGGGTTTCACTGGGAGTAGTGTAACAGTGAGATGGCTGCCTCCAGAGAACTATATCTGTTTCAGAAAAACTAAATTAAGTGAAACAAACAACGTATTTACCCTTTGTTATTTAGGTTGTGCAGTTTTCAATTGATGAAAGTTCAGCTTCTAGGTCAGAGCTCCTGCAAAGCTACTTGTTATTCAACCTTTTGAAGTATGCCAAAGTGGAAATATTAAATCATATCTACCTATACAGTAGAACAGTCACCTGTATATAGAATTGTATGTAATTGACAGTCTTTGCATGGCTGTACCAGAACAAGTACTTAACAGACTTTTGAAATACTGGTTTATTGTCCAGACCTGTGTAAAACATAAAAAAACTGCTTTAAAAAACCATTGCAAAATATTTGAACTTACATCTGTTGAAGTCCTGGTGTTTAGCATGAAGGTAATTTAATTTTCAGTTTTTATAAAATTCACTTTTTCCTTTTTTCAGAAGATAACTTTCTCCCTTGCAGAGTATGTTGCAGTTACTGCCAAGACTTAGAGCAGTTACACAGTTGCCTCAGCACAAGTGCTGGAGTCACTCTATCAGCCTGGAGGAAAGTACAGTCTGCCCTGTTTTGTGGGAGAACTATTACAAGCAGCTGCAGACTGTCAAAATGAAACTTCTGTGGTTATCCAAACTAAATAGATTAACTTCATCCTTTCACAATTTGTGGATTTATTACGTTACTTTTCTTTTTTCTGTTATTTTGTGAAATCAGGGGTGGCTGGCAGTTGTACAAAAGAACACTAGAATGATGCATTGGTTTTCATGCATAGCTACCAACCAGTACTATAATTTCTTCAATTTATAACATGTAAAGGGTTTTGATTAAGTAGCACATTTCTTTCAGAAAAATAAGTGTGTCATAACTTGTGATTTTTACATCTTGTTTTAGGAAAAGAAGCGATTAACGATTTCTAATATTGCTCGTCAGTGGGAGATACAGCAGAATCGAGTAGCTCTTGTGGCTTCTTTAAACCAAGATAAAGATAATGAGCCCTGTCAGATCAATGGCAGTGCTGCATATGTGTTTCCTGAAGAAAGCAGGTATTTTATTGGGAAACGCTGGTTGTTCATGTCTTATATTCCAGGTTACTACTTCTCACCTCTGAGATCACACTGTATTTCATTATCAAAAGTAATATATCCAGATCAATCCTGAAAAAGGTGTTTTATTTTGTGATTACACTGTTGGCCAGTAGCAATAAGTAATATATATTATGTAAGTACTATAACAGTAACTCCTTGACTAAAGAAGTGCAAGCTAAATCACATTGTGATTCTGCTAATTAAAGGAGGACTTGATGTTTGAAAGGAATATTCAGCATGAATTCTTGAGCCTTCCTTAGGCTATTAATTTCCATGAGAGCTTAGACGGTTGCCTTCATCTGAAATGAACAGAATGAGGATGTGTGAGCAAGACGAACATTTGTAACTTCTTGGTGTATATCAGGAGGTTTCATAATCTGTGTGTTGAATTTGTGTTCTTAGTTTGAACAGCAGCAGCTCTTACTGGACTGCTTGCATACCTGTGATGTTTCAGCAACAACAATTATTTCACTTAGTCTTATTCCTGATACAATTAAAAAAATTTCTTATTTTATGAACTGTCTGTTCTTAGAGTGATTAATCATATAATAACTTTTACACTTCATATAGCAAACAAAATGTGAAGGTGGCTTTGTTTGAATAAATACATTGTTTGAAATTGCTTTTAGATATCTAAAGCAACACAAAATATGTTAAGTTAGTACTTAGTTAAATTTATTAAGCAGATTATTAAATATGAGTGAGTTCTTTATTTAAATTCTTCCACACCCCTAGACCTCCACCTCACTGTCCAACTCAAATATACCCAAAGCCCTTCTGCCAAAAAAGTAGAACTTTTGCAGTGTTACCTGATGGAAAAAGGATTTTTCAGCCCTTAAAGTTTTTGAACCAGATTGAGTACTGCAAATGAATTAATGCTGAGAAATGCAGTCTCATTTGACAACCAGGTTTGGGTAACAGAAAGGACTAATATTCAACAGAATGATGGTAGTATCACAAAATAATCTCATATCACTGTGTTTTTATTCTCCCTACAGGTCTCTTGATACCATACTGAGCAGTGCAGTACAAGGCCTGTCTGTTCTTGAGTCTCATTTAGTGGAAGTGGAAGGAGACACTCTTTGCTTGTATGGTGCTGGAGCACTGGAGTGCCTGGATAGAAACTGGAGTGTTCAAACAGCTGGGACTATTGTCACAATCTCCTTTGTGTTCATAGAATTTGATGAAATTGTTCGAGTGTTAACAAAACTGAAGATAAAATTTCCTAATTTTGTGGTAAGAATGCCTTGGATCTCAACTGTGTGAACAGCTATGGAGTATGTGTTGTCGATTAAAACCTTAATGTGCCATAGTCACCCTTGAGTGTTTTCATGTGAATAGACATTTGTGAATTATGTATCTGCTTGGTGTTACCCTATAATGGTAACTTTAACTTGATACTTGTAAAAAATCAATACTTTCATTTAGATTCTCCTATAGGATAGTGCTTTCTTTTTAGACTGGCTTATTTTTCTTAATTCCTTTCATTTAGCTCATTCTTTTTAAATTGCAAAACCAATGTGTAAATACTGTATTGCTATTCTACAGTACTATTGTTGATCTGTGATATCAGGAAACACTCATTTGTGTTGTGAGTTCAGAGATCAAATAGCTGATAGGATAAAAAGAGAGGTAAAATTCAAAGGGAATAGCTAGTGAAATCAGTACAGCTTTTGAAATTCCTCAATTCCTGATGAAGCAAAATGTCCTTTTAATACTGAACATTGTTGGGTTTTTTGCCTTGGACATGTAAATAAGTAATTTTGAAGCAAATAGTGAAATAGTGATGACCGAAGTAAGTGGTTACTCAGATGATAAACTTCTTGAGCTCGCTGCGTCTTTTTAAGGTTTTGAGTATAACAGAGTTTCATGGTTTAATTGAGACAAATACAGTTGTGGGGGACTTAAGACCAATTTATTTATCTCAGTGGCACAATTGTTTCAGTATGGTGGGAAACATTTGTAGAAGATAGCAGAATCTCAGCTAAATTACTATCTTTACCATCATTTTTTTTTCTTTCCCTCCGTAATGCTACTGTGTAGCCAAACAGACCATGCCCTTGGCAGCACTAGCCTGGGGCATGGTTCAGAGAAACAACAGGGTATGCCAGCCTGCTCTGGCCAAAAAAGCAGGATATTTAACAACATTTTACTTATTTTTATATGTTGATGTTATAGTTGCTTACCTTGCAGGTTTAAAATAAACATTTTGTGTAGTATCACTACTTTTTGTAACACAGAAAATATTGATGCTGTTACTAAAATGTTTCTAAATTGCTTAGGGGATTGTAATGGTCACATTTTCAAATATGTAATCCAGCAGTTGGTTGATACATTGTGTTTTGCCACCGAGACCTCAAATGAAGTAAGCTTTTTGCTTCATCAGCCCTGAAGAGTTTGAAAACTGAGTGTCACAAACAAGGAATAATTGTTTCCTCTTCATTGTTTCCTTATTTCATTTATTGTGGTTTGTTTTTCTTAAGCACCTGAAGTTTAAGGAGACAAATCTTGTGGCACTGCAGCAGTTCAACGCACTAGCCCAGATGCATCACATTGAACAGCTGACAGTTGATCGTCAGGGAAATCCGGTTGTCAACTTTACTTTGTGGAAATACTATGTTCTGTTTAGACTGAACCATTTTAATCTACAGCAGATAAATGGAATAAAGGTAGGACAGTGTTGCTTCCTTCTTACTGTTAGTCTTACAAGATAAATTACTGTTGTCTTTTAAAAAGCAGATGTTGCTAAGAAAATGAGCAGAAACCTGTTGGTGTCCTTTCAATACTAGGGACAAACAAATTTTAAGTAGACTTCACCATATAATTTATTTGGCTGTGCCTTTAAGTCCAACTGCTCCATGTTACAAATAACAAAGTTAATGAGATTCTCAGTTGCCATTAAAATGTTGTTTTGTCTCAGATGTTTGCAGTTGCAAATGACAGTCCAAATCTATACCTGAGTGGCTGGGATTTGCCTGAAGAGATGACTTTATTTTTATTTCTGCATGTGTACTTAAAAAATAAAAATTAAAAAATCAAGCACAATATAACTTGATTTCAAGAAGCACTTCTTTATGGTGTTCAAAAGGATCACAGTGAATAATTGTGCAAAAATGTGTGGTTGGCAGCTTACTTAGTAATGTACACTTTATGATTGTTTATATTTGTCAATGTTACAAAATATAGCTAAAATAGCATTTATTTTAAGCCTGTTACATGAAAAAGTCTGACAAACGGATTTTTTTCTTCTGCTTCCTATGTACAAAATCGTTAGTGTGTGTTTGTTTGCTGAGTGTATGTTTTATGTTTAAATAAGTAGAAAGTTAGGACACTAATATTGCTATTCTTTGTACTATTTATTCCCCATTACCTCAATGGAAAGTAAATGTATTCATGCATTTAAAATGGTTGTTTTAGAAAATGTTGGGTTTTTTTTAATACTTGGGCTTTGATCATAAAGCAAGTAAGAATATTTATTATCTATCACAATATTTGAATATGCATTAGATTGTAAATACCAAATAAGTTTAAGACGTGTTATGGAAGTTAATAAGAGCAAAAATAATGCATAGTGTTAGCATTAGATCTGGTATTTTAATTTGGTTATCATCAACATATGTTTTGTGTTAATTGTTATTTGATAAAACCATAGGATGAATGTTGTGGTTTACTTGGTTTTAGTTTGGTAAAACATGCAGCAGTTTCACAGAAGAGCAGGAGAGGGTTAAAGAGCTTACCTGACTTAACTGTCAGAGAAAGGAGGAAGAAAAAGATGAAGAATGAAGACATATGGAAGCTCAGGATCATGAAAAGAAAAAAAAGAAAAGTTATAGTCAATGATCCCATGAGAACTTTAAAATTGTCTTGAATTAGTACTTTACAAAAAATGTCCATCAAAGTGACTTGTCTTTTTAAAAAAAATCAAGCTGAACATGGGCTTAAAGTTTATTTTTTTACTGCATCATATTTTCAAAATGAACAGCTATGATTTATCTTCTATTTTGTTTTAATCTAAATCTTACCAGTTTGGTCTTCATGAAGAAAGAAAGGAAAAAAAGAATATAACACAATTCTTTAAGTAGACTTTTTTGTTATGATCTCGAGGTCAGCAGATTCAATCTTTGATTTTATAGTGTTTGGTGATGAACTTAGTAAATGGATTTACATGTGGCGTAGCATGCTTTTTATGTAGGACACTTATCAAATCTTAAATACATATGCCTGAAGAACATGTTTGTCCTTAAGCTTTTTCAGCCAGACCATACTATATGAAGATGTGCACACAGAATTTTTCTCCTGGTGTCATTAGTAATTTGAGGAGTATCATAGCTAAGCATAAGAGATAGAGCTCAGATCACTGTTTTTCATTACTCTACAGCAGAAATCATGGTATTCAGCTTTGCAGATAATATATTACCTTTTATTTTAAAATCAGTAATAGAAAATCCAGTTTCAGTGTGAAGGATACAACCCCCTGAAGTGTGCTCTTGAACATTAAGTCAGCCCTAAAGAATAGTTTCAGATGACAGAAAAGGAAATGTGCATATGCTGCTGTTCTGATTATCATTTCTGTGCAGCGTTGGTGAAGACTATTGTGTTGCTGGCTCTGAAGTACATATAATCAGGAAGTAAAAGCAATATATACTAATTGAATTAACTAAATTGCATAACTCCAGCACTTTTAAAATTGTAAAAGGAAACTTTCTTTCTTCCCATCCTGTCCTTCCATTCCAGGGATGATCCAGACTAGATGCTGAATGTTATTCTCTCCTTAACAATTATTTTGTTCCCTTGTCAAATCATTATATTTACTGTGAAGAAGCCAATTCTCTTCATTGAGATGCACTGTTTGACGTTTTTCCCAGTGTTAGTAATAACAGCTTAATTAAGAGATGTCAAGATTTGAAGTTACTAAACTTTACATAATTCTTTATTTACATCACGTGTACTGAACTGGTGCCTGTTTTCTCTGCTTGGCAAGAAGGAGGCATAACAGACTTGCATTTTTCTGGTATTACCATTATAGTCTTTTTTGTGATTAATGGAGCAACCAATTAATGGGAGTAAGAGAGAGAACATTAGTTTCTGTGAACTAGAGAGTGTATTTAGTGCTGCTGTCTCTGACCTGGTCCTTAAGCATCTTTTAAGTAAAGAAATTTAAATAACTTATTTATCCAGCAGATATTTCTGCTCACAGTAGTCTTTGTTTCTCTAGTTGCCTTTTCTACTCTTTGTTTGAGACCTCACTTCTGGTAGCAGTGTTTAGCAAGGTTACCAAGGCTAATCTATCTTAGGCTACCAAGACTAATTTAAGTGAAAATGAGCAAATCTAAACGCATTAAAAATGGAATTAACTTTACATTTATGATTTTCTAACCTATGTTTACTCTAGTGAGTTTCTTCCTGCATTCTGCTGTTGCAGTATACTTTAGGCAAGGGTAAATTGTATAGTCTATAAACATTAAATAAGAATATAATAAAATTATGTTAATTTGGATAAAAATTTTATTTTATTAACACATTTGAATGATACAGAACACAAATATTGTCTGGAAATACTTAGTAAATATTGTGACTATTAAAGTTTGTTTAATAATGTTTTGCAGTTTAAAAATATAAGATAAACGACAATTAAATTTGATCCAGAAGATTAAGAAGTCACTGAGTGTATTTCATTGCCCTGTGTTACCCAGGTCAGATTTAGATATTCATAAAGATTTCTCTGCACTTACTGGAAAGCTAGGAGCCTAGAAACTCTGCCAGCAAACTCTTGGCAGCTGAAGTCAGTTCATGGTCTGGTCATCAGGGCAGGAGAAATGCAGGCCATGGTCTCTAAAGATTACAAGTCCAGACAAACGAAAAACAGTAACAATAACCACCAAAAAATAAACCCCTTCCACCTTCTTTATACAAAATTGAAATGTGTAAATTTAATACTGAAAATTTTTTAACTGTTGAAAATCAGTTTAAAGAGACATCTGTAACTAAATGTTAACGCAATATTTTGTATGATATTTAGAGAAGTATAATGGATGAACACTTTTTTGGGGGGGAGGGTGGTGCTGAAAAATGCAGAGAGCAACCTTTTTCTTCTGTTTCTTCTTCTCTTAAGACCTTCTCTAAGGTCTCTCTATAAAGCATTCTCTATGATGCTGTCAAAGTAAGAGAGACTGTAAATTATCCTTTTCACATGTGAGTACCTAGAACCTTTTCATTTCTCCAACATAATTTGATCAGGAGTTTTCCAGAAGACCTTCTGTAAGTGCATGCAGTATAGAGCAGAATTAGTATGTCTGGCCCTTCAGATAGTTAATATAAGGAATTATTATAAAATTCCATTAAGGCTGTCATGAAGCACAGGGTGGCAGCTGTGTCTACATTAAAGGTTCTAGAATTACAGGACATAAGGACAAGTACCTTGTTTGGGTTCTTTTAGAGTACATTTAAAGAGCCAATAAAAGTAAGTCTACGTTTTGAAGATCTGCTTGTAACAGATCCATACACAGTGTTGTGTATAACAAAGTTCAGTTAATTCTCAATGTACATATATAATATAAATGTGCCAATTTTGAGCCTTAATTGTTTTCTCTTTTCTCCCCCTTCCCTCACAGGTCACTGAAAATGATCTTGTAGTAGCAGAAAGACTCTTTGGCATTCTGGCATATGTAGCATCTTCTGAGCTGCCACCTTATCGTGTGCTTTCGTTATTTGGAGAATCTAGGTAATACAGGGAATGGAGCTGGGATTTGTCCAGGACATAGTGTTTCATTCATGTTGTGATAAATTCTTTCTGGGTAAAAGGATAAGAATGTCACAAGTAACATCTAACAGAAGTTATATTCTCTGCTTATTGCAGAAATATTAGCATCTTCTGATTCGTGTAGCCAGAGGTTTTCACAGAAGCTGTATGAAGTTTGCAGAGTAAGATTAAAAAGCAGGTGCCCACAAATGTACTGCTTGTTTATTTTTCCAGTTGTACTGGTATTGGTGAAGATCTATGGACTTTTACAATGAACACTTAACTTTTTAGTGGGTATTAGTGAACAGATTTAAGAGTTGGTGCTGCAAGAAAAAAAGGGTGCTTAAAAAAAACCTGTTTTTAATCTTCTATAGATACATACTTGATAGCAGTTTAAGCTGCAAGACATCTTCCTTAGGGGATGATCTATGATATAGGTGAAAAAGTGAATTGTATAGAAGCAAATTAAAGGAGGAATATCTAGAGTAATACGTATTTTGAGTAACTGGAAGATGCAATAACCTTGAAAGCTCAAAGTACATGTTCAAAGGGAGAGAATAAAAAAAATCACTAGAAACATCTGCTCTGCAATAAAAAGTTTCCAATAGTTTAAACTGTAAATCTGTTTATTAAAATTTCACAGGAGGAAGCAATTCCATTATCTGCTGGAGGGAAAGGCAAAGAAATCTGGAATTGTGAGTGAGGAAGGTAGTGATTACAGAAGAAATGGAGGGGAAAGCACAACTCGAGCAGCGCTGAATTATACAACAAAGGAATTATATCTGGAAAAGCTTGAGGTAAGTATGTTACTGCAAAATACTTTCATCATGAGTTCTGGCTTCCCCAGTTTGTCCTCCCATATATGCTCTCCCCTTATTAATTATGTGGAAAATACGTAAATCCTCCAGTGCAAGAAATTACATTCAAGTTCATTAAACACTGAGTGCAGTTACTGCGTTGTGGTTTCGTTATCTCAGATCCATAGCAGAAGAAACAGTGACTGCATGTATGGAGAGATTCAATAAAGAAAAATTTTTGTTTCAAAAGCTGTGATAATAGCTCTTAAAACTGTGATTGGCATTGATTCAGTGGGGCATTCCTCTTGTCCTTTACCATGGAACAAGAAATATAGTAAAATAAGCTTGGTATTTTTACAGTCCATTAAATATATGCATTTATTTCCCCCGTGCAGCATTTCATACCTTGTCCTTTGTTACAGCATGATGTTGTATGTGGCAGCAGAGATATTACAGGATGTCACAAGAAAGGAGTAAGATAGGCAAAACTGATTCCAGTTCCCCATCAGCAGTAAACTAACAAAATAAATATGATTGAATAAGTTGATGGAACAACTGGGAAGTATTTTCTCTGCTTTATCACTTATTTAAGAAAACTTTTGTTTTAATGTTCTGAAGCATGACCTAACGTTTTAACAGTGCCATAAATCAGCCTAGTTAGCTATTTAGCACCAGTCTAACCTATTGTTCAAAGCTTATTATGGTATTTCATAGAAACTCTATAGAAAGAGGGATTAATACAATTTGAGTGACTGAAATGCAGAGCTAGTAGCTGCATAAAGTGCAATACTTTTTCTGTTATTTTTTTTAGAGATTGGGGTTGCTTCAGTAGCTAATGTAGTACATGTTGGGAACCATGCACTTGGAGTCCATCAGGGAACCAGTGGAAAGGATGCATGCAGATGTATTTTTCCTGTGAGAATATGCTTAGTTCTTGTTAAGGCATATAGATTCACACATAGTTTCTAACTCTTGTGCTGTAGCCATGAAAAGCTGGAAAGGGAAGTGAAAGAAGGAAGGAAAATAGTATGGTGCTTAATTTCCGTAAATTTCCACTGCTCTACCAGAAGGAAAAAAAAAAATCATAATGCTGTTAGAATAGTTACATGACTGCTTGAACATGGATTTCAGATACATTACTAAACATAATATGAATATTAGGAGTATAGTAAGAATCTTTGGCCACACAGAAAAAGCTTGACTTAGACCCTGAGCCATGCATCTTAAAACCACCAGGAAAAAGCATGCAGTGGTCTCTTTGCCTGCTAATTGTACTTTGATTCAGTACATATTTGTGGTTGTTTTTTGGGTTTGGTCTTGTTTAGCATTTTCTTCCTTTGTCTAACACAATGTGTAATGGTTCTCCCATGCAGGAAATGAAGGAAAGAAAAACATTTTGCCAGACGTACGTTGAGAACTTAGTGAAAGAAGCAGCTGACATCAATATGAAAAATGAGTCGTTGCAGAAGCTCTGGCCTCAAATGTTCATTGAGCTTGTCAGAGATGCAGTGATAGAAATACGCAATAAAAATTCCTACATGAAACTCTGCTTGCAGCGGATCACTGATCAAAAACAGTAGACCCAAGGCTTGTTGTCTTGCAGGCTTTTGGTTTCAGTATTTTATGATGTTTTGCAAACTGAAAACAATAGAATATAAAATTACTATCCCTATGGCATGCTTCACACACCCCCCCAAAGGGATGCTTTGAAATCTTCATTAACTCTTGATGGTTTTGGAAAAAAAAAGGTTACTTGCATACTGCTTTAATGATGCTTCCTTGGTAAACTGATGAGACAGAATAGGAGTAATCGGATGATTGTCATGTTTTACTAAATTCTTAATTATTTTTTTCTGCTACCCTTGCCTCTGTAGTGCTGCGCACTGATTTTTTTAAAGGACAGATTTACACTCTGCTTGCCTTACTTTTTATTGAACACTTTTCAGTTGTCACCTTTTTGACTATTTGCTGCTGTTTTAAAAAAAAATCAAGAATAGTAGCCAATTTTTTAATGAGCAAAAGCTAATAAATTATTTTTACACCCTGAACTCGATGAAGACTTATTATTGTTTAATTTCTGAGATTATATAACAAGTTTTCATATCAATGTCATTACAGTGCCCAGTATATCAACATATAATGAGCCTAATTCTCAACTGAACAAATTGCTTAAACTTGATTTCACATGTTTTTCATTAATTTCATTTGTATTATTTTGTATGAATTATTATAGGCAAAATACAAATTCAAGGTGTACTCACTTGAGCTTTATTTTTGTGCTCTTAAAATACGTTAAATTTGTTTCTTTATGGCATAATCATTAAATTTAGAGGTTTGGCAAGGTCAAAATGAGCTAAAATGCATGCGTTATATTTGGGAAGGAAACTGACTACTATTCAGTTGTAATTTGTGACTGCGTGAAAATTTCATGTTTGTTGTCAATAAAAATAAATTCTTTACTCTTGCCCTTCACAGATACAGTAAAGAAGTACTGTGTGCAAAGAAAAGATTTCTTCTAAATACTGCATGAAGACATGAGGCACAACATACTCCCAAAATCAGCTGTGAAGGGGTAGAAAAACCTCATTCCATAGTACAGCAACTTCAGTTGTAAATATCTTGCCAGTTCTGCTCAGAAATTAAGGATTTAGGAGCTGCTAGCAGGTCCGGCTGATGCCCATGGCTAGTGTTCATGTGCAGGTAGAAAGTTGTGCCATATAAAATTAATTTTATAGTTCCAATGTATCTTAACTAACGCAGAACCTTTGTGTGTTTTACTGAATTCAAACTTATTTTACTTAAGCTCATTTATAGAAATGTTCCTAACTGCAGAAAACCTTCTGCAAGGGTTTCTGGGGCTCAAAACTAGGTTGTTGTTCAACTTCAGGGGGACAAGACCCTGGCAAAGCAGAGGTGTGAATCATGTGAGTCATGGAATGGTTTGGTTTGGAAGGGACCTTAAAGCTCACCTAGTTCCAAGCCTCCTGCATGGACAGGGACACCTCCTGCTAGACCAGGTTGCTCACAGCCCCACTTTGGAAGTTTCTGTGCTCTGAAAATAGCCTTGAATGAGTAGCAGGAGTCAAGGGGTTGTTGGTATTTTGGAATATACCATCCGTTTGCATTCAGGTCAAGCTGGTCCATCTTAACTTGTCAAAATCCATTTTCAGAGCATGTTACAGGTTAACAATGACATGTATAGTGTTAGACCTAAGTTTCACTTTGTATGTTTTATGTGATCTTTTAAAGCATACTTGCAGGTAGTTGCTTTGCAGTCTTCACAGAATTTAATGGAGATTAAGTTCCTTAAATTCTAAGGAAATGTTAAAAGTGCTGAAGGAACCGTTCCAGCAGTTGATTGAATTTAATAGAAACAATCACCCCTCCAGGCTTTCTGAGTTGATTCATGAAATTTATAGTAAGATTAGTGTATTTGATAGAATTTATTTTTTCTCTACATTGGAAAATGGCATTGTCAGGTTTTATGGTGCTTTTTATTAAGGGAACAAATGTGAGAAAAGGGAAGTTTACATTTTATCAGTAGTCAGTATAGGCATAATCATACAAAAGGTTTTTGGAACCATCAGTTTAACTACATTATTTCTGTACAAAGGGGGTAGGTGGAACAATTCCAGCTTCTACATGGGGACAGAAACCTTAGCAGCTGTGTCAAAGTGCAGAACTCTCCTGATGATGTAGCAGGAGCAGATGGGCCCCTTTTGAATCAGATTCAGCAGTAATAAAAGACTTTAAAAAAAAAAAAAAGTTTTAAGAAGGATGGATTGGTCTAGAGGAACAGGAAGTTCTCCATGGGAAAAGCCAGAGAAAAGCCAAAAATTCTGATACTTGGGCTTTAGAAACATGATCTTGATTGGAGGCTTTAAGTTCTGGTCTTGAAAAATCTAAATTTAATGAATTGGAGGCTTTTGACTGCAAGTTGTAGAAACATCTCCTTAAAATGCTCTGTATTCCCAGGGGTCTGTGAGTGCTGCCAGTTTGGGCTTTTTCACTCACAGCAGCTGTTTCGTAACAGGATTGCTAAATGGCTGAAGGGAGGGTAGCTAAGCAGCTATTATGAATGAAGAAGAGTAATGTTGGGCTGCATGCTTTTTTTCACAGGAGTAAACCAGTAGGAGCAAAAAAATCTTAGGTTTTTACTAAGTCTTTTTAGGAAACAAGTGAATGATAGACTAAAATTATGTAGGGCCTAAGAGTACATAACACCTTAAGCAGCCAGATGATCTTAATATTGTTAGCATGCCATAGATTGTTGATGTGTTTATCAAAAACTATTGGTCAGTTCATACAAATTTGTAGGATATGTTGCTGTTGTTGCTTATTAAGGAGTTTCTGACTACCTAAAAATGTGACAGTGGTGGAAGCAGTACAAGTACTACATATATAAACTTTCTGTGGTTACAGGTATAAATTGAGGAGTTAAAATAGCCATTGATTTTGAAGCTGGAAACCTTTTCACAAACTTTTTAGGCTGAAAGTCGAGGGGTTTTTTGTGTTTCAAAAGCCTTCAAATGTGGCATAAACAAACATGTTTATATTGTTAATATTTTATAGATATTTAATCCAAAATGGATTGTTGTGATCCCCTCAAGAAGCCTGGATTTCTGCACAAGGCAGAAGCTATCATTTAAAAAATACTGTGTTAGCTAGAAATCATCTTAAGGGTTAAAAAGATATTTTGACTTTCAAGTCCTTTTTGAGAGCTTTTTTCCATTGATTTTTTTTTTTGTTAATTTGTACAATGTCCTCATTTTCTGAGACAAATTTCCTCTATGTGCAGACATGGGCAGATAATGAAGTATCTCTTTTTCAGTTTAGCCATATCATGCATGAAGGCCCCATTATGTCATGCAGAGTCACTGTTGGTTATGCAACTGAAATTTGATCCTCAGTAAGGAGGTTGAAGATGAGCTGTATTTCATAAACTCCTTTTGATATAGGATCTGAAAAAGTAGTAGAGCCACAGATCTGCCTCCGCAGTGGAATAGAGAGGTGATTCACTTGATGCAAACCAAAAGCTGAATCCTGTCAGTTTTGAGAAAAAAACAGTGCTAGGAAAAGGTTTTAACTGGGCATTGTAAAGTAAAACTGTTCAGTTTCCTGCGACCAAGTGTCACATCTGAACCTGGAAATAGCTGAAAACTTTGCTTTCTGGTCTGTGTAGTTCAGTGATACCAAAGTAAAATACCTTTTTCCAAAACTACAAATGAATTAAAAAATTTTTAAAAGGTTAACCTACTAAAAGGCTGGCCATCTACAGATTGTTAGGTTATTGTGCAAACAGTAGCGAGGCCACAAGCTATGTACACATTCTGTAAATTCAGGACAAATTATTTTTTTTCTTAATTAGAGCTGTAGGCTGTGAAGGTGACCAGCACTGATGCTTTCAGTTGCTACTTTTTATTGTAGTGATACATCAAAATGAAATACTTTTTTAAAAAAAACTAGTTTATTTAAAGAAGCTGAGGCAAATACTTGCTGTATCTTATTTAGCAACATCCGCAACGCTGTGATTTAGTTTGGGAGGTCAATGTGCTGCATATTCTCAAAATCACAATAACAGTTATTTGATTGGAAAAACAGATTACTTGAATATGTTTCTGTTCCCACATCACACAAACTCTGCTACATCTTCAAGTCTAGTTTCAGTGAAATTATTTTTCTTCAAGTTGGCAGCATCCCTCTTTTGGGAATTTGCAGGACTTGATGTTTTGTTACATATAGAGCAAGGAGAGGGAAAAGAGAAGACTAGCTCTTGCTTTGCTCTGTGCTGTGATAAACTGATTTTTCTGCAGAGTACAATGTGAAAAAGGGAGTGTAGGTTACACACTCTCTAACCAATGTCACCAAAGGCTGACTGGGATCTGCTTACACACATCATCTCAGAGCTGGATTTTCCTTGGTCATGAGCTAAAAGAGATGAAATCTAAGGGACTGTTTATATAACCCAAGTACCTAATTTTGTTGTCTAGCTTTGCTAGGCTTCTGCTCCCAGAGGAAGACAGATAAGCTCATCTGTAGGAACTCTTGTCTCTGTTTACTGTGTTGAAAACAGCATTTCTTTACAAGCTGTGTATTGAATCTCATGTGCCATACTTGTCTGTGGATTGGGTGGACAGATGCTTCTGTTTTTTGTATCAATTGCCAGGAAGCCTTGATGAAGAACTGGGAAGGCTTAATTGAGGAAAAACTGACTCTTCTGAAGTTCTGAGTTGTTTGCTTTTGGTGTGTTTTTTTTCAGTTGTAGCTGGATTGGATGTATTGCAAGCAGAAACATACTTGACTGATAGCAATATGCTAGGTGCTATATTTTTACATCCATAACTGAGATGCTTCCCACTTTCAGACAAACTGTTGCTTTCACTTCTGTTTCACTCATATGGGTATCCCAGAGATTAAATGCTGCTATTGGCAATACTTTTTATACCTAACAAATCTGGAACTTCACATGAATGCTGAGCAGATCGTAAACAAGTTCATACTTTCTGGAATACTAGACATGGGTAACATAAACAGCACTAACCTTTTCAAAGCAGTGAGAATGATACCTTTCAAGCATCAAGATAACAAAAAGCCTTTCTGTGTGTAGCATTGAGCAATTAATTTGGTTTGTTTTTACTGATTAAAAAATTAATGGTGTAGGTCTCCATTCCTTTCCACCCCAGTGTAATATATTGCAGAGTACACTTTGTATGAAAGATTCTGCAGAACTGAGCCTAAACTCTTAATTTATGAATTTTTTTTGTGGATTGAATTTCTAGATTACTAAAAGTTCTCATGATCCACAAGGTTGGTTGTGGATCCCTTTAT